TTGACGATTACATTGAAATAGCATCTTCTGCCACTGAAGTACTGCTTTAAAGCTTGGGTTTGTGGTTCCAAAGAGATTTGCTCAGTGCCAGAGGTTAAATCACCATCTTTTATTCAGGAAAGATTCTTCCCTTTGTTTCAGTTTGGTGTCTTCCCAGAAAACAAGACTGCTGTCTAGGCTTTCATTCTGCTGTGTGATGTTCCTAAAGATCTCTGTAAAGCTCTGCTGCCTTTCTCAGCACAGAGAATTGTTTGATTTTTGAGAATAATCTGCTCAAGGGTGTTCTTAAATTTAGTGAGTGAACATCTTTGGCTACTCTGCTTTTAGGAGATAAAAGGTTCTCTGATGCTATAAGTTGTCTGTATTATGCATAAATGTATACTATCTTTTCAAAAAGGTGCTAGCTATAAAATTCATCCCCATTTTATTTTGCTGGAGTTCTTTCTCCATTTCTGCTTTCAGAGTAGAGAAAACAGAGGGGTTTTGAAGTCAATTTTGTGTCTAGATGAGTTTGTGTACTGCAATAGAGTGAATCAAGATCTACAAGCTAGATATAATTTAGTCTTATCACAAAATGTACACTAACATACTATTTTATATATACACACTATTTTCTAATTGAAATTAGAAATCTAATTACATAGATGGCTTGTGCACTTCCATTTGTAGTGCATTCATTTGGACTGATTAATGTATATATAGGATGCATTGGACAAATTACCTATTGTTTGTGTACATCAGATATGGCTTGCAAATAATATTCACAATTAAAATGGGGTTTTTACTCCCTAGAAGTCCAGTTAGTTTTGTTTGAATTGTAAATATTGCTTCTCACTTTTTCACAGTTGACACTACTATTAACTTTCTTCGGCATTAATTTGATTTTATGCCAATAAGTTAGAACTGTGAATTGAAAAAAAATGCATCTCCTCATTTTTAACTATGACCTCTGTTATCATTTTAACTCATAGTTTGGTAAATCTGCATGCATGTATTGCCATATGATATAAAAGAATTCTTAGATATTTTCATAGGCCAAATGAAGTTCCCAGAAAGGCAAGGTATTTTTTTCCTTTTCTCATCTCTCCATGCTTTGTTTTTCATTTGTTGAAGGTCCTAAATGTTATCTATCATTATCCAGTGGATATATTTAGTTCTAGCTTGTTCACAGCAGTCAGTAGAGCACTCATAATATTGTAGCATCTCACTCACCCTGGAGAGGAATGATGGGTTGCCTGGCAGCAATTCTCATTCAAGATGATATCAGGCCCATCCTAGCCTTCTTGTCAAGGTCAATTCTCAATAAATAAACCCTCAACAAAGGGTAGAATCAGTCTGCAGAAAAATACTTTCCTGCACAGGATGCAAATAAATGCTAAATTACATAAACCTGTAATTAAAATATATTGGAGAGAATTTGAAGAAGGCAAAATTCTAGAAGGCAAACAACTGAAAAACTATACCTATTATGATGAGTTCACTTTATAACATGATTTATTAGCTCTGAAGGAAGACTGTCTTGCAACTAGAGAAAACAGTTCCTATCTACAGTAGAAAGCCTCCAACAAGATGAACACATTCAAACACCAACCTGGCTCTTGCTTCCCAAAAAATTTTATTTGGAGTAAAATAAAGATATTTGTAGATTCTAGACTCCCTTAGAACGATTTAGTGAAGCCTTATGGTGTGAAGTAATAAAAAGACAGATAAATCTGGTATCCTGCTCTACTGTGAAATTTCTAATGAAAGAAGAAATAAAAGAAACTTAGAAAAGGTATATTGTTCTTTTCACATGAAAAAACTCTTAGGAAATAACCACCAAATTTTTCCTTTTACTAGCAAAATAGTCTCCATTAAAATTTGACAGTATATATGACTGCAACCTTATGCCTGGCTAAGGCTTTATACTCCACCATTGGAAATAACTTCACTAGATGTTGCTTTTATTCCTAAATTTCTATCACTGTGTTCACAGAGCTGATTCATCTTGCCATCGCTGAACTCTAGTTGAAGAGTCAACACACCTGCTGGTTTTCCTGACAGTATCTCTACTATACATTCTAATCAAGTCTGGAATGTCCCTCAGAAGTCAAACTGAAACTTTTTTCCTAAATGCCATATAGATTTCTACATTATACAACTCATGAATCAAACCAAAATATCAGCTATCAGTCTCAATTTACTGGCTGAGGGGTGATGAGGAACAAATAAAATTCCTCTTGACTGTAAGTCATCCTATCAGGCTACCACTTCCTTTCCAGTACAAAATCAAACAGAATATTGACAAAACACAGTATAGGTGAACTCATCTGAGTTTGTGATTCAAAGAGTAGGACTACACACACCACTAGCTAGAGATGACAGAGACTGATGCAAAGTGTAACCACTCCATTTCAATGCAAAGTCCAATGGGCAGTCATTTTTCTTTCATTGTTAATATTAATAGAAAAATCTCTGCTTTCTTGCAGGACATGAATATTTTAGCTGCATAAGAATTTTTTTTTGTTTGAGCTACACCTGAAGTTGAACAAGATTAACCCAGGAAGGTACAGATACTTACCCAAAAATAAATACAGATTAAGAGGGGTTTGGGACCCTTGGTTTAGTTAATACTCAAAGATATTCCCCACAGAGATAAAGCAATAGGATAAACATCAGCCCATGAGAAATGAAGGGATAACCTCCAAAAATAATTTTCCTTAGATTTCATTTCTCATTTTGCAATTGCAGCTTCACAGGTGTGAATACATCTCTGACTTGTAGATAGTGTACAAGCTCCCTATTAAATAAAGATGAAACTCATTGATTATTTAATTTTTTGCCCTTTCATAAGGTGAAAGACAGCTTGTGATGAAAAATAGAGTTGCCATTCTTGCTTTCACAGTGGAGAAAAGCATACAATCTTTATTTTATTATAATTTTAATCAAGCTAGCAGCTGCTCACTGCTGAAGTGAAATGAGAAGGAACTTGCATAAAAATAAACCATTGGTCAAGCCTGGTAGCAAAAAGCTAAGTTCTTAGCTTTTTCACTTTTTGTAGCATAGCTGTAACCTTTTTTCTATTCCTTGCCGTTTTTCCCATTAAAGCTCAGCTGAGTGTATCTGGGGGTGGTGTTTTGTTCTGGGCTTTTTGTTGGTTTGCAATGGTTTCTCATCCTTTTAAGTATAATCATCCATATTATAAATACATATTGTGATATTGGCTTTTCGCAAGTATTAAGATGACTGTTATATGTATAATGTTAGAATAGCTTTTGCTATGCCTTTTTCTTTTTTCTCCTGCTATTAGCTAAAATATTAGGTGTAGGTCAAGAAGAATTTTGGATGTTAGGGTTAGGTCCTGCCTGAACAAAGCAAGATAACCTCCAGGGAACAGATGATGGGGCCCAGGCTGCTATCAACACTAACCGACTGTAGAAGAAAGAACCCCAGCCCAAATAAAAAGATGATAAAAGGGAAATTAAACCTGAAAAGTACATGCTCTAAAAAGGTGGATCCAAGGAGTGCCCATGCAAAACAGCTCCTGGAAAGGTTTGAATATGCATGAATCCATGTGGCAGGAATGTTATATAAAGGGTGTTCCCAAGACACCAGGTGTGCTCTTGGCAGAGAGCCAAGCACCCGGCTGTTTTAACCCTTTGCTTTCTTATCTTTGTCTCCTATTGCCTTTTTGTTTATATTAAACCTTTTAAAATTTATCAGGCAAGTGAACCTCGTTTTTCACAATCTGGAAGTATCTCTTGAGAATAACATACATATACCCCTTGTTTTTATACCTTTAATCAATCTTTTAGGTAGATGTTCATAAATGTGCAAATTACTATGGCCAGTGTTGAAACATATATTTCAAAAACTGAAGGTTTAGTGGTTTTCATTCTAAATACTTCGCAGTTCTTGAACAATCTGATGTGGGAAATTTCCTGTCTGAATTTGCTACTGTTGTAGCTCAATTGTTTTTTGAAAATTAGCTTTGCTATCCTGTATAACAGAACACCCATTTTTTTGTAGTTGTTGTTGTTTTTTGGTTTTTTTTCTGGAAATACATCTTCATAAAGATAAATAGGAATTATTCTTCTGTTGCAGAAGAGTTCTTAAGGTTATCAAGGGTCTATTAATTATTGTTCCTTTTCCAATTTAATCTTCACTGAAAGTTTTTTGAAGAGAATGCTTTTTTATTTACAGACATTAATTTTACATAAAACATGTTGTAATTTTTTCTTTGGAGATAATACTTATTAGAAGAAGGGTATTTTTCCTGGATGGAAGTTGAAATACTGTGACTATGTTATGCATAATAACTTCATAGATTATATGAGTTTACTGTCAACCCTTTTAATACTGTGCTAATATCATAGAAATGCTTTTTTTTTTTTATCTGAAACTTCTGGTGGATGTGGAGAACCCAGTTTTTCTTTAATTATTTTTGAATTGAATCCTTCTATCTTATATATCTACATATCTATATATTTAGTATCTGAAAGTGTCCATGCATCAGTTTCTTTTCAATCAATTTTCTCATTGTGATAGTTGATGTTATAAATCTGTAGGTTAAGACTTACTTTAAAATATAATAACGTGGCGATAACCTAAAACTCTCATCAATATTGTGGCCTAACCCTGTAGGCAACAGAGACCCACATAGCTGCTCAAAACTCAAAACACAGCATCATACAAGGTACTATAAGGAAAATTAACAACATCACATTCAGACATAGTAAAAACTGGTTTTGGTGTTCTTACAACATAGGAGAAAAGCTGTCAGAGAAGTTAGCTAGAGCACCTGCTCCAGAGGTACATGGTGTTGTGAGAAGGATGCTGGGGCAGGTTCAAATGCAAAAAAATCTAATACAGCAGTTAGCAGCTGATGGCAAACAGCCATTCTGTTGGTGATAGATGCTGCTTTGGGTCATAAAGAAAAAATAACAAACAAGAGAGAGAGAGGGAGAGAGAGAGCAGAGAGCGAGGAAAGGGAAAACTCTTCCTAGTGGACAATTCTTAAAGAAAGCACAGGAATTCCTAGACAAACACCATCCGTGTATGTTTTCTCTGATGCAACTGGCTGTTTTTCCCCTATAATACTTTACCTTTAGCAACTACACAGTTTCCAAACTACACATCAGGAATTGCTCAACCTCCAAGCTGATTGCTCCTGCTTGTGATGCCTCAGTTGGTGCCAACATAGGGCAGGTGCTGCACACTGCCTGGCTGCTGACCTGTCTGGATGCATGTTATTGTCCCCAGCAGCATAACCAGGGATTATCTTGGGCAGCGGGTAGAACAACGGTAAAGAAGGGTCTTTCTTATACCAATGGCAACTGCTTCCGAAAAGTAACTAACATAGCAACACCACAGATTGTGGGAGCAAGGCCTTGGGAATAATAGCAGCAAAACAGCAGCATGAGAAAAATTTGGGGAAAACACTGTCACAGCAGATCACATGAAGAGCTACAGAGCTCACAGGCTGTAGAGTGGGAAAATTGAAGGTCCTTAGCAATATAAAAAGTTTAAGACACCTAAGGAATGGTGAGAAACCAGTCTGCTACAACCTGAAGAATGAAACTCTTTCTTAGGTGGAAGGGAGGGTGACAAAGAAACGAGAGGTGAGATCTCATGCTGATCTACAGTGTAAATGATGGACCTTTATTTTGAGATTTTTTTTCCCATACCTAATAGAAAAATGTGGGATTGTTTAAAGCGCTGTATATTTTAAACACAAAATAATAGAATTATAAATGCCTATGTACTTTGTACAAAGGCTGAGGATCATTTTGTGGAAAAAAATATGAAATACTTATTTTGAAATGTGGAGACATTTTTATAGAGATTTTGACATGAAATTGCATCTGCTTAAAGTGCTGCAGGCAATTATGATTCATTCAGCTAATATTGTCTTTCTTCTTTGAGGACAGTATCTTCAATAATCTTCCAAGCAGAAAGTAAAACAATGTATTATAATAACCTATGTAGTTAAAAAGAGAAAGTAAGATATAAACTATATGAACTGATGACACCTGGAATAAATGCAGTTTATATTTACTGTTTATATTTAATATTATAAAATAAATATTGTATTTTTGATACATGATAAATATTTTTTCTTATTATAACACAAGTAATACATTTTCTGTTGAAAAATCATAGAATTTTTTTTTCTATCCCATTTATGGATAAGATTAATCTTACAAAATATTATGAATCTAACATTTTTGCTTAGGCATATTCTAGGCTTTACAGAGTGTTATTCAGACCTCAAGAGACTTTCTGGAATGAGAAATTTTTAGTTCATTTTGGTTTCTTGATTAATTAAAATATTACCTTCTGTAGCTGGTACCAATGAGCTATTTTACTGAGAAGTCATGTTACTTGCTTTTACTTATATTTTCAGACTGCAAAATCTTTAACCTGATTGGCAGGTCTTCTGAAGATATGTGCATAACATCCTGAGGTCACTGCCTCTCATTCATCAAAACCAGAAATTTTATGAGTAAGTAAAAGAAGATGCTTACCTCAAAAAACTGTTGCTCTTTGAAATACATTTTCTGTATTTGTGGCATAGGGAAATCATTGATTTTACACTGTAAGACAAAAACAACACCCAGACACAATCCTGTGGTTTTTTGAGTGGCAGCTGGGAGAGCACTCAGAAAGTTGTCACAGTGTGTTGGAACAAATATACATGAGCAAAGTTCCTTTAAAGTACGAGGAGCCAAGGTTCAAATAAAAGGTTACACTGAGTATGGGTTTTTGAGGCATGTACCTTCATATGGAAAGGGGAAGAAGGACTCTAGTTTCAGCAGTCAGTGCCTGAGGATACTGTTACTATGCTCATAGTGGTTTAACTAGGATTTAACTCCTAGTTCTAGCAGGTGATACTCTCTTCCTCATCCTTTATAATGATGAAAAAAAGTTGTCTTCTTGTCTACCTTGTCATCTGTGATCCCACATGCAGCAGAAGCAGCCTGGATATGAGAAAGAGAGGGACATTCTTTTTCCAACTCCTTTAGGCAGTAAGACTAACAATTGTAAGCTGCCACAGATAGCAAAGCACGTCATGGTAGAGACTGCAGACACATTCCAAGACTTGTACAATCACAGAGTAGCTTAAGCTTGGAAGGGATCTCAGGAGGTCATCCTGTCTTAGCTCTAACTCAAAACAGGGTCAGTTATGAGGTCAGGCCTAGTTGCTCAGAAATTTATCCAGTCATGTCTTTCAATCTCCTGGAGACTTCACCACTGCTCTGTGCATGCAAGTTTGAGAGTTTACCTGTTATCACAGCAGTGACAAACAAGTCTCTCACTATTTCATATAAAAAATAAATTTAAAACAGTGCCATGAGTTTATGTCAAGAACACTAACATGGCCTACATTTTCTTCTGAGTCATAACAAAATACACTCTTTTTTACTAGACTGCTTTTAAGAAGTTCTTTCTTAAAGTAGAAAAGAAAATAAAACACACCCAAGCCCCAAAGAAGCAAACAAAAGTCCTGTATAAATTAATTCACCATATTTACTGAAAGATGAATTCTTATTTTTCAGTTTGAAAAGTTAACAGTTTTTTCTTGCTTTCTAATTTTCTGAAAATAGAAAATTCCACAGAACTACAACCACCCCATTTGCATTTCATGTCATGTGTTACGCCTTTCAAGCTATATTCTTAGCAGCACTCAAATACTCAACTGATAATCATTTTTGGCTACTAGAATAATGCAGCTAGGGAAAAAAAATCACTACTCTCTTTTAATGATGTGTACTTGAATCATTTGCAACACATTATAGGTAATTATAGGTACTGGCTCGTATCATAAACTTCTCATGGCTAAAGCACAATAAATAGTTCTTTTGACTTCTGTAATTTAAGGAAACAACAAAAGTAAATTTTTAATCTCAAAATTTTATCTGTCTCTACTTCCTTTTCCCCAAGAAACCCTGCAACATTTGTTACTTCACTGCAGATTTAGAAAAATTGCACAGGCCAAACTACATGATACAATTGGCTATCACCTTTAGATGGATTCAAGGAGTCAGTGATATAACATAGATTTAATATCCGATTACTATTAATTAGATTTGCTTCACTTGCTTAATTTTCTTTTGAGTACTTTTCCTATAACTTGTCTTGCCCTTGTGTCCTGGGGTGATTTTATGATGCTTGTATCCCCAGTTGTCTGTTCTGTTTATGTTACGTGTTAAGTTCTGCACCTTTAAGACTGGTTCTAAGAGTGAAGAGGGGGAAGAAGAAGCACACAGTTTGTGTTCAGAAAGAGCCCTCACTGCCTCACATCCTGCTCCTGGACTGTGTTGTCTGCAAGCATGGACAGACAGCAGGACAGAGCTCTCCTTTGCTGTTATTTAGTTTATCTGTCTGAGGCAGAGTAGTTCCCCAGACTGTGGATTTTCCCTTTTTTTTCCTTGGATCTGTTCAAACCTGCTCTGGACTGAAAACCCAGACAAACCCCAGGAGCTCACACCTGTGGTCCATTGGAGCCTGGGCCTCGGCACTTTCCAGCGCTGGAGGGACTGAGTGAGCCGAGGTGCACCATATGAAAAGGATTATTAGTATCTGGATTTGCCATGTCTTCAGAACAGCAAAAGGTTTTATTGTTTAATATTATTCATTTTTTTTTATGCATTTGGATACTTTGCTTGTTAAATAAACAGTTTTTTCCACTTTTCTCCAAGGAAATCTTTTCCTGAATCAGTTGGGGGAGGGGCCATTTGAATTTGATTTATGGACAGACCCCATTCGGAGATTTTGTGCCAAATTTGCCCTAAACCAGAACACCTTGATAGACATAGGTGTGTAGAGACAAAATATGGTCATTGCCTATACTCCTGCTTTCATCAAGTGAAAGTTCTTTAAATGTTTTACAACTCATTCTTCCCCTCCTCTGCTATACTACAGGCTGTTGTATTAAATGATACACTAAGGGAAATACCTGTTTAGATATACCATGTAATGCATCAGCTTTCCTTTGCCATCAAATTCTGCTTATCTAGGACTTTAGAGGCAGGCATTTTATTTTCATCCACAAGTCTATGACCTCTCCACCAATTATCCCAGGCTCAAGATCATCCAGAAAGGAGGAGGAACAGCATGAGACAATGGCTCAGTGCTAAAGAGAAGCCTAAACATTTTCCAAGAAACAATGTGCCTCATCTTTACCAGGCAGGGGGTCAGTATCATCAGCAAAAGATGAATGGTTACTTACTGCAGGATAACCAGGGTTTCAGAAGTATCCAAAGCTTTTCTGTTACTCCAGAAACTTACCACTGTTTAACAGCTGTCACAAGAAGCCTAATGACTGCAGGGTATGTGTCACAGATCCCATCTCTGAGACAGCAATGTACATATCATATCTCACATTTTATATATAGATTGAAAGAGATGCAAATTCACTTCTGTATTTTTGCACTGCTATTATTTACTGATGTAAGTATTAAAAATAGGAAAAAAGGAGACACAGTTTCAATGAGTGTGATTTGAGAGACAAGATGTACAAGGTTAATGAATTACAGAGATTCAAAACCCAAATAAAACTTTACATGTAAAATAGATTGAATGTTCCATGAAGAAGACAAAATACAAATATTAGGGTTCACTTAAGTCACTGAAATTCAGAGGATAAATACAATTATATTGTACTAGTGTAAATTATAAAACAAATTTGCATTATAATTTTTGGTACTGATGCCCATAAAGCTTGCACAAGTCTAGTGCTGGCAAACACAAATGGTAAATCAAGTGACAATGGAATTCAAACTGAAAATACTTCAGATCAACTTTCTTACACTTCTACTACATAGATATAGAAACCAGGAAAAGTCAGTCTTATGAAAGCTATTTTTCAGTCTGCTCCTGTGGTATATAAATACACTTCTTATAAATAACGTATAAAAAGCTAGAAGCTTACTGGCGAACAATTTTTTTTTTTCTGAGATTGGGTGGGGGTTATTTCAGGGTGTTTCTTAGTATTGATCTTGGATTTTTAAAGTTTGGAACATGGGAAACTTCAGCAGTATCTTCTATATTTATGTAAATGAGGCTGTGCTTTCTGGGTTGCCTTTTGCCTGTAGTTGTTCATACCTTACTGTTGTGGTTTTGGCTGCAGTAGAGTTATTTTTCTTCATAGAATCATAGAATGGTTTTGGTTGAAAGCAACCTTAAAGATCACCTAATTTCAGTCCCTTTGCCATGGGCAGGGATGCCTTTCAATAGACGAGGTTGCTCAAAGCCCCAACCAACTTTCCCTTTAACATTGCTAGGGATAGGACGTCCACAGCTTCCCTGGGAAACCTTGTCCAGTACCTCACATTCTGTAAAAATATTATAATAATGTTTGTCATTAAATGCTTCCCATTTTATGAAAAGTTTCAAAATACATCAAATTTTTCACATTATGGACTCTTGTATGTATTTTACTTATTTTACTATTTTGACTTTCCCTTTGAATCTATTATTATGTGTTCATGGTAGCTGTTTGTCTGAATTCAAACTAAGTATTTGAAAACTTCTCTCACATTCTATTGTCTTTCCACAATAAAATGGATAGCTAACACATGATAGATGTGGAAAAGAAAGTCAAAGGTAAGTAACTTACTAGCTTCTTTAGCATATTCTTTTCTTTTCTTTAGGAAAATATCTTTCTTCTGTTATAATTAAATGAGGGTATATTTGAACAATGAAATAGTATTTTTGCTTGAAGACTGAGTGGATAAGAAAGACATTGCATCTTTAAGCTCAGTAAACCCTATAAGCTCATAACCCTAAATGATTATTTTTCACTGATTTGACTGTTTCTTGATCACCATGAAGCAGGCAGTGGCTGTTGCAGGAAGCAATGAGATTTAAAGAAGCTCTTTTCTTCCTCATGGAGAAAATAAGTTATCTGTGTACAGATAGGGCATGTTAAGGATTGTGATGACCTGTTCCCTTTAGCAGAGTACTCACTGGTTCAAGTTTAAAGCTTGGGGATAGTCATAACTGAGTTTGTTAGTGAGAAAAATAAAAGTACTACATACCAAGGACTTGATCCAAAGTCTTGATGTATATTTGATTTCAAATTTCCTCAAATAAGCTTTTGATTGCACTCAAAGTGCTCTGATTGGAATTTTCAAGTCAGTTAAAAGAAAATAATAGGTAATCCAGGTAATTCTGTGTTTGTAAGGAGGTGGGAGATGAATTTAGTTAGCTTCCCTTCCCACCTTGTGTATAGATTAAATATTGGAATATTGGAATTTTCAAATACTTGGTCCATAAAATATGGCGAGCATGCTGGAACTGAGAATGGAAAGTGGAAGTAAATGAAGGAATGGGAGGAAGAATCCTGAATGCCAATAGTCATGTTTGTATGATGATGATTAGTCACGTATGAAGAGCAGTTAATGGAACTACTCTTAAATCATTAAGAGTCATATAAATCTCTCTTTAGGGGAAAGGAGGTGCTGAAATTTAGATTAAGTTTAACTGCAGCTTCACTATTTAAAAAAAGGGCAAAAAGCTCATTTTGCTGCATAACTGGAGCTACTAAACCACTGTAGATGGGACTATATGTATCCATTAATATAAAATAACCTATGCCCTATAAAAATCAGAAAGGTCTGATGCTTGAGCGTGGGTCAAACAAATTGCTTATATTAAAGATGTTTAATCTGGTAATTTTGAGTTTGAACAGAATATTAATACTTGTTTAATTCACCTTCATGTTTAGAGTGAAAACAACTGCAAGGAATGAACTATTGCTTAAAATATTCAGGGCAGCAACATATGCCTCAAGAGATAAGAGTTTCACTGTTAGTTTAATTAGGAGAAAGAAAGCACAAGCTTCAAGTATTATTTACAGGTTC